ACGTTACTTAGGGCCACAGAAACGTTACTTAGGGCCACAGAATCGTTACTTAGGGCCACAGAATCGTTAGTTAGGGCCAGAGAAATAAGTTACTTAGGGACACAGAATTGTTACATAGGGACAGACACAGAATTGTTACTGAGGGATACAGAATTGTTACTGAGGGACACAGAAGAATCGTTACTTAGGGCCACAGAAACGTTACTTAGGGCCACAGAAACGTTACTTAGGGCCACAGAATTGTTACTTAGGGACAGACACAGAATTGTTACTGAGGGACACAGATTTGTTACTGAGGGCCACAGAAACGTTACTTAGGGCCACAGAAACGTTACTTAGGGCCACAGAATCGTTACTTAGGGCCACAGAAACTGTTTACTTAGGGCCACAGAATTGTTACTTAGGGACAACAGAATTGTTACTTAGGGACACAGAATTGTTACTTAGGGACACAGAATTGTTACTCAGGGACAGACACAGAATTGTTAATGAGGGATACAGAAATGTTACTGAGGGCCACAGAAACGTTACTTAGGGCCACAGAAAAACGTTACTTAGGGCCACAGAATCGTTACTTAGGGCCACAGAAACTTTACTTAGGGCCACACAGAATTGTTACTTAGGGACACAGAATTGTTACTTAGGGACACAGAATTGTTTACTTAGGGACACAGAATTGTTACTTAGGGACACAGAATTGTTACTCAGGGACGACACAGAATTGTTACTGAGGGATACAGAATTGTTACTGAGGGGACACAGAAACGTTACTTAGGGCCACAGAAAACGTTACTTAGGGAGCTCCACAGAAACGTTACTTAGGGACACAGAAATTGTTACTCAGGGACAGACACAGAATTGTTACTCATGGGGGACACAGAATTGTTACTCAGGGACACAGAATTGTTACTCAGGGACACAGAATTGTTACTCAGGGACACAGAATTGTTACTGAGGGACACAGAATTGTTACTGAGGGACACAGAATTGTTACTGAGGGGCACAGAATTGTTACAGAGGGGACACAGAATTGTTACTCAGGGACACTGAATTGTTACTCAGGGACACAGAATTGTTACTCAGGGACTGACACAGAATTGTTACTCAGGACAGACACAGAATTGTTACTGAGGGACACAGAATTGTTCTGAGGGCCACAGATACTGTTACTTAGGGCCAGTGAAACGTTACTCAGGGACACAGAATTGTTACTCAGGGACAGACACAGAATTGTTACTCAGGGGACAGACACAGAATTGTTACTGAGGGACACAGAATTGTTACTGAGGGACACAGGAATTGTTACTGTGGGGACACAGAGTTGTTACTGAGGGCCACAGACTGTTACTTAGGGCCACAGAAACGTTACTCAGGGACACAGAATTGATTTACTCAGGGACAGACACAGAATTGTTACTCAGAGACACAGAATCATTTAATTAAAGAGTATGTCAGGGACAACATGCAGAGGAGTGGCAGAGGAGGCAATGTTTTAGGAGTGAGCAGACGTGGCAGCAGAGGAAGGGGTCGAGGCAGCACTATTCGCAGCCAGAGGCCAGTGCTCCGGTGTCATCCAGCGGTCGTGTCTCCACGACGACACCCTGCCGTCATCGATTGGTTGGCTCGGTCGTCTTCCTCTTCCCAGGTCACCTCTGACACCTACAGCCAACGGTCGGTGGGGTACGTCAGACACAACCGTTAGTTGGCATGACCCGGGAGCAAGCCCACTGAAATCACGTGTCCTCCGACCTGCCCCTGTCCTTTGGTGTTCCCTCACCAAGCGAAGTATCGTATGCTGTAGGCTCAGCCCCAACTGTACAGTGAGGAAGAGCTAACAGAGGGCGGTCAGGAATCCGGGGGGAGACATCCGCTCTTCAGCAGCCAGGGCGAAGAAAGTACTGGCGAGGAGAGTGGCTCGGTAGCCGGTCTAGAGACAGGGTCTGTCTCCTGACCCACACGCAGCCGAGGGGGCTAGTAGTGAGGCGGAGACCTTAATTGATGATGATGAGGCTGATCGCACTTGGGCAGCCTCGTCGTCATCAGGCTATTGCTTCCGCATCATCAGGAGAAGAGGGTGGCAGCTTGGCAGCGAGCAAAAACAGTCGGTGGGTTGCCAGGATGTTGGCAGCAGGGTCGCGAGGCAGCAGTGTCAGTGGAGGCAAACGGCCAACGGAGTACAGCACCAGGCTCCACTGCAGCCTACCACACGGCCCAGTAGTGTGTGCCGGTGTGCAGGAGGAAGCAGCAGTCAGCCAGTGAGGAGTATCGGGGGCAAAGTTTCCTACTCGGCGGCCGTGGCAATTTTTTGTCAAGACGACACCCGAGGAAGTAAACGTAGCCGTCTATGTCGACTATGTGGCCAGAAAGTCAAGCGTGGCCCAGGGGGCCCATGTTGGGACTACAGCGTTGCGGCAGCATATGCAGCGGTCGCCATTTGGTGGCCTGGGAAAAACCGTGATAATGATACGGCGGTGGTTCTGCTCCGCCCCAGCCCCCGCTCCATCACCCGCTCCAGGTTACTTGCTCCGTCTACCCGACGTCAATCGCCCCCTCTATCAGCCAGTTCAAGGCTCCAACACCTCATGCTGAGGGGAGTTGTCGCTCGTTGGCATCTTCCGCTCGTTCAGATGCTCCTTCTCCTGCTACTCTCTTCACGGATTCCGTCAGCAGTCTTTCTTGGAATCGTTTTCCAAGGAGACAACAGTTTGCGAGCACGCACCCGACGGTGCAAAAGCTGAACGTCCTCCTGTCCAAGTTGCTGGTGCTGCAGTCCCCTCCCTTTCCAATGTGGTGGGATCAGCACCTTTTTCCGAGAAATGATGGCTTGTGCCCGAGCAGCGGTGTGGAGAGTGCCAAGCCATCAATTCTTTGCCAAAAAGGCAGTGCCAGCCCTGCATTCACATGTTAGAAGAGGATGGTGGGCCAGTCTTTGAGCATGTCGGTCTCTGCCAAAGTGCACGAGCAGCGCCGACGTGTGGAGCTGTAACTACGGTCAGTGGACAGTACATGTCTTCTTACGGCCCACTGGTGTGAACGTTGGTGACCGTCACAGCCGCACCAGCAACTTGGACAGGTCACGCCGCTTTTGCCTCCTCACGTTTGCACGTCCTTGGTCCACAAAAGATGTCCGCCTCTACCACCTCTTCTTCCTTCGTGTCCTCAGCCGCCACCCCCGTGCAAGTCCCATTACCGACCGGCATATCACATGTGCAGGGGCGCAACGGTGTCACGCTGTGCTGCACCTGGTATTGCCTTGGCGGGGGCGAACGTAGTCACAAGGGGAGGAACTTCTGAGTGTAATGAACAGAGAAATTCGACAGATGGCTGTCTTCCGCGCAAACTGAAAATCGGAACCATGTTGACCGACAACGGAAAGAACATTGGTGTCTGCTCTGCGTCAAGGAAGGTTGTGCCATGCGCCATGCATGGCTCACATGGTGTTCAATCTGGTTGTCAAGCGGTTCCTAAATTCCACCATTCCCACTGCAAGACATCCTTTAAAATGTCACGTAAACTTTGCATTGCATTTCAGCCATTCCTACACCGCAAAGCACACCCTTCCTGAAAAGCTGCAGCGGCAGAACGGAATTCCACAGCATCGCCTGATCTGCGACGTTGCAACAAGGTGGAATTCAACCCTACACATGTTAGACCGCCTTTACGAACAGCGAAAGGCCATCACCGATTTCCTGATGTTACAAGCGGATAAAGGTACTCCCCTGTGTAAACTTCGATGTCAGCCATTGGCAGCTCATGCGTGACACCTGCCGCTTGCTCAGGCCCTTTGAGGAGGGCCACGCTTTATTCGTGGAGTCGGCAGGACTATGGGGATGAACAACGTCATTCCCTCTGTTGCACGTCCTGGAACAAATGCTGTAACAATGGCTGGTCAGGGTTGCGGTAGACGTGGTGCACAGATCTCAACGCCACATGACCCCTGTGTGGGGCAGGACAGGAAGAGGAGGAGGAGGTAGAGGAGGACATTTGTGCTCAGGAATTATTGAGTGAAATGGGTGGTTTTTCCACTCAGCGGACAGGAGTGGAGGAGCAGGTGGCATCTGGGGGAGGAGGAGGAGACAGAGGACCCAGACGCACCGTGGCAGTTATGCTGTGGAGATGGAGGCAGGGAGCCCCTCGCATTCCTTGGCACAAATGGCCCATAGCATGCTCGGTTGCTTGCGTAGCGACAGCCGAATAATAACCATCAGACAGAGGGATGAATTTTGGCTGTCCACCTTGTGACCCTCGCTCTACCCTGGGTCCCCCCTCGCTACCGTTCAAAAATGGTGGCCTTTTTTCACACCTGGCTGAGAGGGAGGCAAATATAAGCGTACTATAAAAACACACTATGTGAGGTCAGTTGGTCTCTGCCTTTCTGCGCCAACGTCCATCCTCAGACACTGTGGGCACTGTGCGCTCGCGTTCCGCTGCCATGGCAGCAGGGGAGGGGTGGGGTGGTTAGGAGCAGTGGTAGCTACACCAGCAGCGGCTGCCTCAGTCTGCAGTCGATGATGAGTAGCTTTCTTCACCAGCGCAGTGAGGAAACTACTAACCAGCCGCAAAGCAGCATCAGGGTGGACTGGAGCAGGACCTCAAACAACAGGCTTGGGCCTACTTGGACAGCACCCTGCCAACGAGGTAGACAATTCCCTTGACTAGTGGGCAACGAAAACTTGACCTTTGGCCCCAACTAGCTGAATTTGCCCTTGAAAGGCTGTCATGCCCGGCCAGTAGCGTGGCATCGGAGCGCGTGTTTAGTGCGGCAGGAGGTATTGTAACTCCGCGGAGGGACACGACTGTCCACCAAAGTGTGGAGAGGACTCACGTTTGTGAAAATGAATCAGGCGGTGGATTAGTCTGGATTTCAAACCACCAGTTCCTGACACAACTGACTAAATCCGCCATGAATCATGCCCCTGCCATGTGCCACTTTCAGGTCTCCTCACACTGCTGGTGTGTTCAATTTTTTGACATAGGGTGCTGGCAGATTACGGGCCTCCCATAGCTGCTGCCAGGCCCCTAATCTGCCATGGGCCCCTCTACCGCCTCCTCATGCTGCTGCCAGGTCCATAGTGTCTCATGCCATGTGGATACATGTGGCCACTTTCAGGTCTCCTCACACTGCTGGTGTGTTCAATTTTTTGACATACCGGGGTGGCTGGCAGATTACGGGCCTCCCATAGCTGCTGCCAGGCCCCTAATCTGCCCATGGGCCCCTATACCGCCAGCACTCATGCTGCTGCCAAGTCCAGAGTCTCTAATGGGTCCCTGTACGGCCGCCCATTGCTGCTGTCTCCATCGCCACACTCTTCCATGTGCCACTTTCAGGTCTCCTCACACACTGCTGGTGTGTTCCATTTTTTGACATAGGGTGCTGGCAGATTACGGGCCTCCCTTAGCTGCTGCCAGGCCCCTAATCTGCCATGGGCCCCTATACCGCCTCCTCGTGCTGCTGCCAGGTCCACAGTGTCTCATGCCATGTGCCACTTTCAGGTCTCCTCACACTGCTGGTGTGTTCAATTTTTTGACATAGGGTGCTGGCAGATTACGGGCCTCCCATAGCTGCTGCCAGGCCCCTAATCTGCCATGGGCCCACTATACCGCCTCCTCATGCTGTTGCCAAGTCCAGAGTCTGTCATGGGTCCCTGTACTGCCTCCATTGCTGCTGTCTCCATCGCCACACTTCTGCCATGTGCCACTTTCAGGTCTCCTCACAACTGCTGGTGTGTTCCATTTTTTGTCATAGGGTGCTGGCAGATTACGGGCCTCCCATAGCTGCTGCCAGGCCCCTAATCTGCCATGGGCCCCTGTACCGCCTCCTCATGCTGCTGCCAGGTCCACAGTGTCTCATGCCATGTGCCACTTTCAGGTCTCCTCACACTGCTGGTGTGTTCAATTTTTTGACATAGGGGTGCTGGCAGATTACGGGCCTCCATAGCTGCTGCCAGGCCCCTAATCTGCCATGGGCCCCTTATACGCCTCCTCATGCTGCTGCCAAGTCCAGAGTCTGTCATGGGTCCCTGTACGGCCTCCCATTGCTGCTGTCTCCATCGCCACACTCTGCCATGTGCCACTTTCAGGTCTCCTCACACACTGCTGGTGTGTTCAATTTTTTGACATAGGGTGCTGGCAGATTACGGGGCCTCCCATAGCTGCTGCCAGGCCCCTAATCTGCCATGGGCCCCTATACCACCTCCTCATGCTGCTGCAAGTCCAGAGTCTGTCATGGGTCCCTGTACGGCTCCCATTGCTGCTGTCTCCATCGCCACACTCTGCCATGTGCCACTTTCAGGTCTCCTCACACACTGCTGGTGTGTTCAATTTTTTGACATAGGGTGCTGGCAGATTATGGGCCTCCCATAGCTGCTGCCAGGCCCCTAATCTGCCATGGGCCCCCTATACCGCCTCCTCATGCTGCTGCTGCCAGGTCCACAGTGTCTCATGCCATGTGCCACTTTCAGGTCTCCTCACACTGCTGGTGTGTTCCATTTTTTGTCATAGGGTGCTGGTAGATTACGGGCCTCCTATAGCTGCTGCCAGGCCCCTAATCTGCCATGGGCCCCTATACCGCCTCCTCATGCTGCTGCCAAGTCCAGAGTCTCTCATGGGTCCCTGTACGGCCTCCCATTGCTGCTGTCTCCATCGCCACACTCTGCCATGTGCCACTTTCAGGTCTCCTCACACTGCTGGTGTGTTCCATTTTTTGTCATAGGGTGCTGGCAGATTATGGGCCTCCCATGCTGCTGCCAGGCCCCTAATCTGCCATGGGCCCCCGTACCGACTCCTCATGCTGCTGCCAGGCCCGTAATCTGTCATGGGCCCCTGTACCACCTCCTCATGCTGCTGCCAGGTCCAGAGTGTGTCATGGGTCCCTGTACGGCCTCCCGTTGCTGCTGTCTCCATCGCCACACTCTTGCCATGTGCCACTTTCAGGTCTCCTCACACTGCTGGTGGGTTCCATTTTTTGTCATAGGGTGCTGTATGGCCTCCCATTGCTGCTGCCTCCACCGCCACACTGTGGCTCCACACTCTGGTTTTGGCCCCGTGACTGCCCAAATGAGTGAAGTGTGTGGTGATTCTAAGATCGACGGCACTCATCTGCATGTTCATACTGACTGTCAGTATTATTTCTCTTCCCCAGCAGACTCCAAGGGCATTTAAATTAAAGGTACAGTTGTTCTGCACTAATATAAAGGCTCTCTGAAGCCTAGAAACACACTTTTATAAGTTAAATTCGCAGCGAATATATTCGACTCGAATCAAAATTTTTCCACGAATTCGCCGAATCAGTCGAATCGAATTTTTGAATACTTCGCTCATCTCTAGTATTGGCATACATTGTGTATTGCACATCCCAACACTGAAGTGTTCAGAAATATGCCAAAAGAGGCTTTCAGGTGTAATCCCACAAAAAGTGTTTATGTGCTGATCAGGTTACGAGAGAAGTCTCCCACCCCTTTAATGGATCTGCAAGAAAATAAAAATTTCCTTTCTTAGCGTGTTCTGAGTGTGCTAATGTGATTACATGTATAAGCTTTCTTCCTTTTCCAGTATCACACAGATTTACACAATTTAAACATCATTTGACATGTCAGAGTACGTGCTCTATTTATTGAAAAGTCAGTGTAATTTGCTGTATATAGAGAAGACTACACAAAAGGATCATGATAGGATATCACAACATAGATATTTCATTAGATCTTGACAAACCAAACTTGCTAAACTGAGATATTGTTTAGAACAGATCAGGGCTCTCATTTAAAATGTGGTAATGATTGTATTGCTTTGAAATGTAGGGAGATCTGCAAAATTTGTTAACAGAATACTTTGTTGCTGCAAGGTCTCTATTGTGATTTTTGACTTGCATTTATTTATTTCTTTAAATTATCCTGTTTGCTTTTTATTACAAATCCTCTATGGGTTGAGGGTGACTTGACGTGCCTTGATCTTGCATCCTAAATCAATAATATTGTTACTTTGTATTTCTTGTTATTATCCAATGAATAAGTGGTATAATGTTTATATAATTTCTGGTATTTTGTTTATACATCAGATGTGAGATTAGCATGACAAAAGGCAGAGATACCTGAAACGTTGCTGTACTTTTTAAAACATTTATAATAGGAAATATTATTACTGTCTGTGCTGCATTCCTTCTCTCTCTGGGGTTGCAGGAACACAACTAACTGGATGCATGAAAAGACCATCATAGTGCCTCCTGCTAGTACTTTGTACCCCTATAAATTGCATTAAAATAGTCGTACAGAAAAATGTCTATATTTTTTACACCTACACTGGCATATGTCTTACAAAACATTTTAAAAAATAGGATAGAGTTTAGACAAAGAAACCCTGTGAATCCCTTGTATGGAGATTTCCTCTTCATTTCTGTTCTATAGATGTTTTAATTAATCCAAGTGAACAAAAATTCCATCTTTCACCAATGTCACAAGACTGGCTGTCTTTTTTGGAAGATTATGCCCCAAAAGTTTTGGGTGACAGTTGCCAAGAAAAATAAGGAGGGTGGATCTCCCCAGAAAGAGGTTCTAACCATTCCATACATTATTATTATTATTATACAGTATTTATAAAGTGCCAATGGTTCGCTCAGCGCTGTACATTACAAAGGGGGACAGAACATGTGACAGAACAATACCAATACAATGCAAAACATGAGGGGATCGAGGGCCCTGCTCTTTCGAGCTTACAATCTAGGAGGGAGGGGATGGTGGTACAGGAGGAGATAGCTGTGGGGGATGGAGTGGTAGGAAGAGTGGAGGAGGTCGGCAGGTTAGCAAGGGGTGGGGTAGGCTTTCCTGAAGAGATGGGTTTTCAGGGTGCGCCTAAAGGAGAGGAGAGTAGGTGATAATCTGATGGGTTGGGGCAGGGAGTTCCAGAGGATGGGTGACACCCTGGAGAAGTCCTGGAGGCGGGCATGGGAGGAGGAGACCAGGAACTAGAGAGAAGGAGGTCTTGTGAGGAGCGGAGTGTGCGTGCTGGGCGGTACTTGGATATTAGGTCAGTGATGTAGTTCGGGGCAGCATGGTGGACAGCTTTGTACATCAGTGTTAGGATTTTGAATTTGATCCGTTGTGCAATCGGAAGCCAGTGGAGGGATTGGCAGAGGGGGGGTGGCGGAAATGGAGCGGTTGGAAAGGTGAATGAGTCTGGCAGCTGTATTCAGGATCTACTGAAGCGGGGATAGCCAGCGGCAAGGCAGGCCAGTCGAGTCGTGATATGATGAGGGAGTGGATGAGCTGTTTAGTGGTTTCTGGGGTTAGGAACGTGCGTATTTTGGTGATGTTGCGGAGGTGGAGTCTGCACGAGTTTGTTAAAGATTGGACTTGGGGCTGGAAGGATAGGTTGGAGTCCAGAATGACACCAAGTACTCTGGCCTGCGGGGTGGGTTTGATGGTGGCGTTGTTGGATGTGATGGAGAAGTCAATGGGGGGTGGTGTCCGGGCTGGGGGGAAGACAAGAAACTCGGTTTTGGAGAGGTTCAGTTTAATCATCCAAAACTAAAAGAAAAAGCTTTGGAATGAGACACTCTTAAAAATGACCTGAAATTTTCTAATGGTGCTACACAAGGTAACCTTTTGAGATCACATGCCACATGTGTCAGATCAGATATAGGTTCCACATCTTCCATGCAAACAAATGTCCAGGCCTTATGGAAGGAGTCTTGTCCAGCAGAAGTGAGAGAAGAAGACAGTAGTTTCAATATACTGTAGTTTATGAAGAATAAAGAAAACAACACATGGATGCGTGGCCTGGACTTTTGCCTAAAATAAGATGAGTTAAAGCACACGGTTTTCAATACTTCTACTGTTTAAAAGGTTTCTGCTATAATCCTTCTTTCGCTTCCCCTAGCATAGGCTTTTATGAGGTCAAGCTCTCAAAGCTCTGTGTCACATTTGTTCATTTAATTTCACATTTTGGAGAATCCAGAAGTGCACACATGCAAGGCAACAATCTTTGCTGTGCAGATATTGACTGATTTGCTACTAACACCCTTCCAAAATAAAATATTAGTTTTGTTTTAATGCAGACTGGTTCTTTCATTAACCATTTAATCAACAAACACGCATTTTTAATTTGTTGGGTAACACCTTTCCCCACTATGTTATCTTGGTTTTAATTATACTGAAAAAGTTATGAAACTTATTTAAAAAAAAAAAAAGTTAATATTGTTTGTTTTTACATACAGTGTATAAACAGTACACAGTGTATATCCTGACCCTTCTTTGTTTTTTCATGTATAAATCTGTGACTTCTATCTTGACTGTTACCTATGTAACAAAAAACGAACACCACAATGACACCTCTTAAACTTGAGTTTTACTGTTTTAGAGAAGTGCTTTCAAGAGTATTTTGTTTACTGAAAAAGATCTAAAAAAAAAACAAACTTACTTGTTCATCTTCTGTTGAACATGATCCATTGTTGAGTTACAAAGACAATTCCCTTTACTGGTTACATTTTGAATAATATTTGTAAAATTTGCTACAATTATGCTAAGTATTTGTTTA